TCTTGCTATAAGGTATAAACTGAAAGCGGTAGCCTCCAAGCCCTGATGCTATGCTCTAGTACCAGGTCATTCTGATAGGAAAACTCTAACAATTTCTGGTAGTGTTGAGGCTAGCCTCCCCTCCCACAAATTTCTATTGGTCCTGCAATATGATGGGCTGCCTTACTGAGGTAAGATAGAATGTGTGTGTGTGTGCGTGTTTGGGGGGGGGGCGCCAAGTACGTGCAAGAGCTTTTACAGTCAGAACAGTGTGGCATTAAGGAATAATGGCAAGGCTTATAGACTGATGCAGGTTTAATGCCCACACTTATTTTCCAAAGCAAAATGAATACATGTGTGTTTACTGTTGCACTTGCCAAAGGATTTGCATTCCTGTTCAGTCAATCTTGTGATTTACACCCATTTTCCACACTGATGCAAGCAGCTCCGCAATGTTCTTTGAACTGTATTTTTACTACATACTATTTGGTTAATCAGAGTAGCCAGTTCAATTATAAATGTAACTAAAACAAGATGCAATTCTGTATCGTCAGCTATACAAGTAACAATATCAGGTCACATTTCCACCATATATAATATTGTAACCAGCCTTCAGAAAATTGTCTTATATTGACAGATGGGAGCAGGACCTGGGGGAAGAAATGGAATTTGGGGAATTGCATGGATTTGCATCTAGAGCATCCAAATCATACATTAATACAGTACAGTGAGGTACTATTAGGGTGGTATATAGTCATGTAACATATAGCCGCCTTTGTCCCTGATGCCTCACCTAACTGCTTCCACAGGAATGGAGAAGAAGGGACAGCATACCACATATTATACATACTAAAAATAATATATTTACCAAATATAATATAGACCAAAACTGGCCATATACTGGGAGGAGCAAACCATATGGAAATGAAGAATCATAGCCTTGATTTATTTTCTTATGCACATATCTCTATCACATCACCTTATATGGCTGGGTGTGCAATTTCCCCATTATTGCCTATGGGACAGTTCAGTGTTAGTTTATCTCCAGTATCAGCAGGAAATATGAATGCATATTGAGAACAGCCTTTCACTTATCTTGGAATACACGCAGTAAGATTGTAGATCTAACTGAAAATGGCTGAAAACTTCTAACTCTGCATATTGATTTTTCAACTTGTTTGCTCATATAAGATACAGGTATTCAGAAGATGCCTTTCTTCAGACCTTCATTTGATATATCTGCATAATCAAAATTCTACCTTCAGCATTACATTGTTACAGTTTTCTGAACTCACCTCGTCTACTCACATGAAAATATAAAAACCACAAATTGTTATCTTTGCAACACATTAAAAAGAAACAAACCCCGAAAAAAATTTGTCATATTATTTATTAAATAGTTATTTAAAAAAATGTTTATACAAATTACATAACACAGTTTACATTGTATTTCTAATTCTTTACATAAAGAATCACAGTAAAGCTCTTAACTCCATTCATTCTGGCTCAGCCAGCAAATGGAATGATGTCATTTAACCCTTCCAAAGGAGCATGCAATGCCAAGCCATTCCAAGACCCCCTGAAAAGACTGGAGTGCAGCTGGAGACAAAATACTCAATGCAAATTTCACATTAAAGCAAAAGTATTTACACAGATAAGGAAATATAAATAGACTGGGTGTAAGGGAGTATGTTTTTATAGATAAATAATTTACATTTTAAAAACAGCACAAAACATGATTGATTAAACTGATTAAAAAAGATGAAAAAAAATTTCTGGTCAATTTTAGTTGGCTAATATGTTTGATAAGCTCCTTCAGCTTTAATGGAGGACTTACCTCTATGGTATAAAGTCATTGGTAAAAGTCACTGAATCATTTTTACAATTGCTTAAAATATGAAATTTGCTGAGTATATTACACTGCTGTGCTAACATTGAACATAAACAAAATAATTACTTTATGGATACAAGACAGATCCTTCAATTTCCTAAACATTCATTATCGCCTGTACAGAATTATAGCTACAATATTGTAAGGTCTTAGGTCATGATAGAATACATAAACATCTGTTAGTCAGTTTTACCCTCTTGCTGGTTACATTTTGGCGTATTGTGGATTTTTATATTGAATTCACTGTTTATTTGGTGTATAGTTTAAAGTAGATAAAAGACCAGATAAAAGGACTATAGAAGGTGTGGCTGCAATAAGTTTCTTTTTATGCTTGCACCATGGAAACCTGGGAGTGGGTGTCTCTGCCCACCTTTGGGTGTCCCAGCACTTCTTACTGCATTCTCTTAATTCATAATATAAATTAAATTGAACACAGACATAACAGAACCCCTTATAATGGCTACTTGAGGTGTTTAGAAACAGAAACCCAAAGACAGAAATCTCACCAATAAAGCCCCAAAAATATATCAGAAATTATCAAGTGGTTTAACTCTCACACGTCTACTAAAAACTGGAAAATGCGTTTTGGTGGACTGACTCATCAATAGCCCAATTATTTTCATAACTTAATATTTCGGAATACCTATCCAAAATGTATCTACTCTTTACTAAAATGGCTCCTTTACTTCTATAAAAATTAGCCCCTAATCACCAGTGCAGTTATTTTGCTTGTGCTGGGCATTCTATGCTAATCACCATACACATTCAAGTTATATGTTCCAAAAAAGTGACTACTTTGTCAGATCATTATTGTTTTGGACACTCTGTCCTTACCCAAATAGAAATCCCTCATGCTGAGAACAGCATCCAGTTGTGAAAATGTATCAAACAATGCATTAATCAGATTGTTCCCTACAAACTGACACACTGGACTTCAAGTACAATATTAAAAGTTGAAGTGAACACATTACAAATGTATTCACAAATGCTAATTAAATACTAAAAACTATTTGGCTAAGGATGGTGTTCAGATTACTAAAGATTGATTGTATTGTGAGTTATATGGTATTGTCAGTATTCGTCTTAAACACCTCTAATAAAATGAATTGCGATTTGAGATCCTGGGAAAAAAACTGTTAAAGAATACTGGAGCTTGTTGGAGAAACGTCCTTATGGCCTTTAGGAAATCTCCAGGAATTATTGGAAAGCATCATGGGAGTTACAAATAATATGTTAGTTACACTTACTTGCAATGCAGGCTATTCTGAGATACTACACCGAAAAAATCCCATTATGGATGCAGTCCTTCCCTTTGCTGGCCACTTCCAGTCCCTTTATTTGAAGTATTAAGCACATGAGAAGCCTTAAGGGACATTCATTTTATTTCAGTTAAAGCACAGGGGCTGGAATTGACCAATTTAGGGCACTGCTGCACTAGCAGTGGGGGGTTTTAAAGCATGGTATCTCAGAAAAGATAACATGGAGGTAAGTGTAATTAAAACACTTACCTCTTACAATCCTTTCAGAAAATAAGTCCTGACGTTAAGGAAAACTGTTCTTTTTTTCAATTACAGACAGTCTATACTTTTAGTGCAGCAACAGTTAATGAAAGGGAATGTCTGATTGGTAGGGGGTAACATGAACATTTCTTCTATCTGCATTTGATAAATAAGACCTACTATGACTACAGACAACCTATCTTTTTCTTATACAGTACGGGATATAAACCTGCCTTTTGAAGGCTAGATTAAGGACTCGAGCAAGCCATAGATATTGGTGTGTGATCAGAAGGTATAATGTCGATTTTCTACTACATTAATGGCAATGACATGGGCAGTGCCTGTGTGTGTGTAAATCTTTTCTGTTTATAGAGGCACTCAGCTGGCTTCCAATAGAACATTTGCAAAACAGCATTTCCTTACTGTCCATACTAGTGTGTACTAGATTGCCAACCAACTTCAAGTAATAAATTATTTGGCAAATGTAGAGTCATCATGGCAAACGAGAAACAATTAAATTAAACTAGTAATTTCTTTTAGTTGGTAATCTGCATTAGAAATATGAAGCAAATATGTTTTTTCTAGGCAACAAGAACAATTTTATATATAAAACCCAGTTTGCCTCATTTTATATCTTCGTGTAGTTCGTGTTCTCACCTCAGGGTGTATGAAGGGAATAGCTAGAAACAATTCTGCAATCCAGTGTGCTTGACCACCAGCTGGATGGATATGCCTTTGCTTTGGAAACAGGAACTTCCCATTCAATATACCAGTTCTACAAACAAAGTCACAACCAAGTGGATCAAGAAGCATTTGAAGTCCATTGAAAGCATGGCAACAAAGAAAATGTTCATTCTTTTGAACATTCATGCTGTGTATCCAAGGCACTTAAGCAGGAAACAGGACTACACTTGAAATTAAAGTTTATGTAATTAGCTGCTCCTGAAAACGTAAACAACTCCTGTTTTCCTTAACAAAAACACAGTGACAACAGCAACAACAAAAACTACTTATAGGCATAAGACACTCGTTTCTGCCATTTTGCCAGAACAGTCGCATATCGCTGAATAGACTGGGCACTACAATCAGTAAACAGAAATGTACAGCAAAACATCAAATTTAGAATAACTTTACACTGAAACGTATAGGCACCTAAATAATTTCCTAATAATGAAAGGTATTGCCCCTTTTTAAAAGCTCCTAAGTGCTTGCGAGGGGTGTTTTGCTGAGTCACTACACAACTAAACACTGACAGACCTACACATTGGTTTCTGCTTTTTTTTTATTCATTTCAAAATTGCCTGTTGTGTAGTTCAGTATAGATAACATATATAACATTTCCTATGCCAGGGTTGAATGGCATTACCCCATCACATGATTGAATCTGATAGCAGTTATCAACACCCAGAAGATGCATGCAAAGGCATTTGAAATGAAATGCATCTTGTCTAATATAGTACTGGTGTCCCTTTACCACTGCATATATCCGCAAATAATAAGCACATAATAAAGCTTATTATTGCTGTGCTCAGTTGCCAGTATGCTGTTTTCAGAGTGTGTGGCTAAGGTGTAAAGCAAAATGGTTTCCTTTACATATGCAAGTCACCCCCACATTTTTCACAACACGTATAATCTCAGCATAACCCCCCTTCACCTGTATCTCTATAAGAACACTTATGTTTTCTCATTCAGCTCTTCAGTCAATGATGCATAGCCTTAGTAAGCTGTTTAGATGTTTGAATTTATAAGGTACAGTCAATCAAACCAGAGGCTCTTGTGATTAAGAATCTTATCATATTCCCTATGTAGTTTACTTGAAAGGATACTGAGCAGATCTTTATTGAAAACATATCCATCAACTACACACAGTGGAAGGATGCATTATGTAGGCAGTACAAAAATGTATAGTAATTCACTAGGAACCTGTGGAACCGATCCAGGAGCTACAAGACTTCGACTCCTAGTATGTTGACTGGAAAGTTTTTCATTAATATCCATTTAGCTTGCATATGACAGCTTTTACTGTTTCTAGGTGACACATATACATTACAAGTTTGAATGGAACCATGTCACATTCATAGGAAATGCAGTGTAGGGGTCAAACACAGTTTTCATAAGCATCACCAGAAAACAATACATGAAATGTAACTACTCCTCACCTTTCCAAACATACAATACATAAAAGGTACAATCAAAGCCAGCTCTGAATATAAAACCCTTTAAAAATATGTCCATTGTTCTAGGCATTTGAAAATGTAAGCGACCAGGAGACAAAGCAATCGCTTTCCATTAGAGACCTGGTTGTAGAAAATGGCTCTTGATCATGACTTATTTTAAGGCTCTTCTGCTCATTTTCAGATGCTGTTGTGCACCTCCTCACTTGGGGCAGGATCAGTACATTTCATCCTACCTAAAAGTGCAGTTGTTCCCAAATATCCAAGTGGTGAAATTAACAGCGCTGAAATCAGAGCTGATTCTTGTCACTCCTCAATGGAGCAATACCTTCTGCTGGGATATTTAAACCCATTAAAAAAAAATCATACATCATGAAAGTATAACTGGGAGGCATTTGAGTTTTGGGAGGCATCAATGGAAAGGCTATTTTATCCTTTCCTTTCAAGCAGTTTCCTTCAAACATTTTTTCTTCTCTAATTTGTGGTAAGAAATGTTCTGTTTCATTTCGGTGTCTTTAAGAAAAAAGCAGCTCAATTAGCTAATTAAATTACCAGCACATTTGATGGCGAGAGAAGATTTTCCAAATGGTAATGTCACCAAATGTTCAGTATTAAAACAAACAAGTCCATCATGCTTCAGAACAACACTTTTGTGGATTCATTTTCACTTTGTGCTTTATTCCATCATAGAGCTCAAAGTTATAGTTCTCCAAGGTAGTTGAGCTACGAGAAGAGATGCCTGTGTAAGAGCAAGTGCAGTACAGCAGAAGACCAGCACAGATAGCTCCAAGCAAAACTCCAAGGGAACTCATAGCAATGATGGTAACTAGAATTGGATCCAAAGTATAAAGCCAACTTTCTTCTTTGTCAGTCCTTGGAGTTACCACATTACTGGTGGGGAGAGCTGTGTACGACTCATAATCACCTAAAAGAAAATGTTTTAAAATAGTTACAAATACTAGTACATGTCAAATTTATATAACTGACAATAGAAAAACTCAAAATGTATTTCTGCTGTAGCAAAGGTGCCAATAAACATGTTAACTATTAGCAATTAAAAATTGATTCATAGTTAAAAAGAAGGAGCAAGAAGCAAAATACTGCTAAACTGATAAAATCTCATTAAAGTTCTTCATCTCATTAATCACAATGCAATTCACCTAAAATTTGCCAAAGAGAACATATACATTTTATGCAAACTTTACTTCACTGAAATGTTTGATAAAATACATTGGTACATTGGAGTCAATGGGAGATCAAGCTTTGGAGAAATGCTAAATGAGTTTAGCCAAATGTCTCTGATCATCCCGAATGAATGAACTTGTGGGTTTGCTCGACTTTCCGATTTGGACACAATCCTCTCAGATATTGTTTTAGAGGCATTGAAAATCCTTATCCACAATAACCATATTTATGCATGAATGCAGTTATGCAATTTATCTCTTATCATGTTTACAGGTAAACTAAAAAAACAGAATGTACTTAGCTTAGTAGAGTTAGCTAGTAGTAGTTATTAACATTCAACTGGACTTGTTCTATAATGCTAAAGATGTTGTGAAGATCATCCAAGCCATTTCTTCAGTTCTAATGAGTGTTGTGAGCATACCCCAGTATGTATAGGTCCTCGGTCATCTTAGAGTATATTTAAAGTCAATTTTTTTTGTTTTAGACAGAACAGAAAAGTGTTCGAACCCCTGTCAGGTATTTTAATGTTCTCTGAATCCCAGTAAATGAGTGTCCCAGAAAATGAGATTCATCCTCTATATTTGTTGACTGTTGTCAACAGGACTGAAGATGATGGAAAATCCAAAATTTTTAGTTGCCTCCAGAAATTGAATAGAATAGACACTTCCCAACAGTGACACATGTTCCTCTGACAACTGTCTAAGAGGGGACTTACATAATTTATGGAAATCACCTTTTCTCTTGTTATGTTTACAGAAAGTATAGGAACATCTCTTAAATTCGACATAGAAGACAAAATAACTGACTGATTTTTAACCATTCCCTATTGTGCTTAAAGTTACACTAAACTCAGGAGTTATATCTTAAAAACATATTCAAGTACCCTAACTTATTAATAAAATGTATCACTCTGTAGATTCTCAAATCATCTCTGAATTGGTGCCGACACTGTCCTTCCTTCTGGAGGGTGGCTACTTTTGTTCCTCATGGTCCCTGCGTGTGTTAATGTAATGGACTACAATCTCAATACAAATTAGAAAACTAAACATGAGACTATAGGCCATCTTGGGAGTGAGCTTGGAGGGTTGGTTACTTTACAACACACACACAGGGACCATGGGACCATGACATCTTCATCATTACAGAACATGTCGTTGAACGTTACTAACTACTAGGTATATCATTACCTGAAGAAATGAGAACCTTCATAGACATACACAACTGCATGGGTATGTATGATCTAATCTTTAAAAAATTGGATGCCATAAATCATGTTTGAATGGATGCATTCAAGCATTATCTATGGCAGTTTAGACTTTAGAAATAGTAAAACAAAGTCTTACCAATTTTTCCTCCATAGCGACGCCCTTGATTATCCAACTCATTTAATACCACAGGTACATCCACTAAAAGAAACAAAACAAAAATAGTTTTAGTTATGTTTTAAGCTTTGCGCTAACATTATCAGTTCAAAAACAATAGTCGTATAGAGTTGCAGAATGTTTCATGCTGGCCAGTGTGTATACATTTGTATATTTCCATTATTTGGTCAGGCACAGCCAACAGCTCAACTGTTGAAAACACAAATGCACCAAGCCCAGAAACTCAGGGCACTTTGTAGTCCCACTGCAGCTCCGAAGGCATAAATGGTCTGTCTCTATTTCAGAAAACAAATATGGGTTTAGCTACTCCCTGCTTTATGTAAAACAATTTTTAGTAATGTCATGCCTTTTTTGAATCTTGAGGAATGAAAGCTTAGCATAATATAGGCAAACCTATTGAAAAATATTCTAGGGAAAGAGGATCAAATAATATGCATGTGTAAAGTTCAGGCTAGTCACAATTATTTGCATACTAAGGGTATCTGTGAATTAGTATACCATACATCTTAAAAATTGAAAATATAAAACTGGAACATACATAAGCCCCGTGACTAATATGCTGCTCAGATCTCAGACCCTGATTACAACTGTATCGTTAAAAAAAAAACTGTCCTCCATTAAATACACACTCCGCTCCCTAGAGTTAGAGGAGTTGATTTATTAAAGGCAAACAAGCTGTTCACTTTGCAAGGGAATTCTCGCTTTGCAGGGGATTTTCCCTTAGCTTAGTGAATTAGGTGAAGCTCTGCTGACTTCATCTTCCAGTCAAAAAAATTTTGTTTTTTTTCTTGCACATCATTGGGTATTCTTTGTAAAGTGAATTTTTACCATATTCACTAAGCAAAATGAAAATTCCCTTGTAAAGTGAGCAGCCTATTTGCCTTTAGTAAATCAGCCCCAGAGAGTTAGTAATAAATATAGTTATGGGATCCTTTTACATAGGGACTAGCCATTTACGCTAAGTATTAGTGAGAAAGTGTATATTCTTTCTAATTTTCTTGACATTTTCCTATAAGTCAGATAAGTCTTGTATATTTTGACCTGTAGAGATTAACACTTCTAAACAGACACATCACCTGTTCACACAGATCCATGATGTGGCTGGTTTAGGTATCTGGTCTTTTACAGTCCTTGGACCACCCAAGGGTTATCTTTAAAGACATCTATATACAACTAGAGCAACACAGTGCTTTCTGTGGCTTATCTAACCTGCAAAAAGTGTTTATGCTGGATATCATCTACATTGTTTGATTGAGTTCCATTTGTGTTTATTGAGGTCATTCTTTGATGGACTGATATGTAAGGAATGCTTACATACTCCAAATTCCAATGGGTTTTTTCATGACCCCTTGCTATGAGACCATATATTATACTCATTTATTAAATAGGATTTTATATATGTCACTGGAAGCTGTATTCACTTCAGTCAACCAATCATATGCAAATAAAATTCATATTTCTTATCCTCTGTGTTCAAATTAATATAGGTCCATTTGGTAAATTAAAAATGTCTTATCTTAAGGTATATCTAAAGCTAAACCCTTATTTACTGGACAGTTTTTTTTTGAATGCTTTGTCCCAGTGGGGATATTTTCATTCACCTCCTGGCCCAAAGATACAATAGGAAGGGAAAGAAAATATCTCCAAAGTTAGGGAAACCTCCATTTGTTGCCACTAGTACAGGTTTAATTACTTTCTGTCCTGGTTACAATGGTTACCTGGACAAATGTACAAGGGGGATCTTCCAAAGTCTTTAAATATAATTTATTGTATTTTGTAGGCTGTGAAATATGTGGCAATATACTGTATGCCTAAATCATAGATATAGATGTATAACTACCCATTATATATTAATTACTATTCTGGCAATGCAGGAAAGATCAAAGTGCTTATAGATTTCAAATATATATTTGCAAATGAAGATTACACCTCTTCTGGTAAGGAGATATCAGGCTTTACTACATCATACACTGTTCTCCATTATATAACACACAGATTAACATCGCATTATGGAAATGGAATTATGGTTCTGTCTCCAGCAGCTTTTCTCAATCTTTTTTTCAGTCACTGCACCCTTTAAAGATATGCAAAATATCGAGGCAACCCAATATACAATCCAGTATTGATTTTAAGGGGGACACAACAAATACAAAACAAAATGATATGAAGTCCCCACTTTCACATCAAAGTCCACCTTCCCATCAGGAGCCCCCTTTCCAATCACTGTGCCCCTGCACATCAGAGCCCTACTTTATATTCTTCACCCTAGTGTAACTGTGGCAGCATGGCAGAGGGCAGAAGGTGGAGCGGGTCTGGAAGGAGACAGACTTCTGTCTTCTTTTGAATGCTGGGGGAAGCCCTGAAATGGTGTCATGAATTTTCATAGTGCTGGTGGTCAGTTTGCCTTCACCAGGGCAATGCATGATACTGTGTGAGAATTTGAAGGCACCTCTGACAATGCCAAAAGACACCCTGGAGTGCCTCAACATCCTGGTTGAGAAAGGCTGGTCTATGGAACAACCAAAACACTTTTGACATGCATGCTTACAATAGTGTTCAAGTTTAGTGCTTCATTCTTTCCCTGAGATTGGTCAGCCCGAGGTGTCTGCAAAGGATGCACAGCACCAATAGAGATACCATAATTTTTGATCCAACCTTTATCATCCAAATCTGGACATGAGAATGTCATTAATATGAGCATAGTTCGTGTGAAACCAACTTGATCTAATTGTACAATACTGCTGATTCACACCGGTATGCAATTGTGTTGCTTATTTTTGCTCTTTGGGGAAATGGAAAATGATGTTCCATTTTACAGATTACCCCAGAGAGACAATCTTCATTATAAATGCATTCAGGGTAATTTAGCACTTTACTAAAATCCTGTAAGAGTCACCATTGTTGTCTCAGGTGACAGAGTGATTGAAACTTCAGGAAAGGCAGCAAAAAGCCAACACCCTATACAATTGCAGATAATGGAGGAACAAAACTGTAAATTTGGTTAAGTGCTTGAGAGCCCGCATCATTTATCTGCAGCATTTTAAGGTAAGTAAAGACAAACAGATGTTTGTACAAAAATACCATCCTTTAATTACATTCCACACAGCACATGATCAAATAAGTTTCAAATTTCTATAAGGTTTTTTTTCGTCGTTCATTCACAGGCAGAGGACAAAGCAAGAGATGCAGCGTAATAAGGGGAGAATGACTGGATATCATATTTACCAATAGTGACTATTCCAATCTTTTCAGAGAAAATAACATTATACAAAGTATCAATAAAGAGCAGCATTCTCCATGCTCAAATCTTTTCAAATAAGTAAAATATCTGAACGTAGTAATTAAAGATGAGTTTTACTTTTAAAGATTTATATCTTCAAGGAGAGAATATATAATCACTTTAAAATGAATTAGAAAAAAATCAAAGCCCTTCTGTATGTGAACAATCTCATGAATAAAGGCAGAAACAGTGATAATCCTATGGTAGTGAATAATAAGGTACACATGCCAACTATACATATTAACGTATGCCACTTGAGAGCAGAACTAACAAAATTTGAACCTACTGGTCAATTGGTATCAATAAAGTTGCATGCTTGAAAAAATTGTATTCTCTGGTATTCTCGCTGCATAGGTATAGGTGATAGGTGCACCTAAACCCACTCCCACGTCATGGCTTAATTAGAAATAGGATTTGGTAATATAGACAAAGGCAACAGCTACAGTCACCTGAGGTTGTGAGTGTTTAATAGTTTATATATAAATTTTCTCTGTGTACAGAAATATAATTTAACATGCACCTTCATTTTAAAGTGATTACTCCTCAAGTAAATAACATCTCCCCATAATGTTAAAAGGTATTAATAACAACCATTTTATTTCTTTTGAGACAAGTGAACAACATACAAAAATTGCATTGAATGGAATACAAAGATCAAATTGTTTCTTTTGTATTCTCATTGTCAATATCCATTTTTCATACATTTTTTTTAAAGCAACCCCAGACATCAACAGGACAGAACAGACGGAAAATAAAATCCTTTACATCTTTCAGAAAAAAAAACAAAAACATACATATAACAGATTTTTGTACTGTGTGTTCTAACACTTCCAACTGCAATATTAGTATCTAGAGTGGCAGCCTAGATGTGCGTGCTGGCTTAAGGAAGAAATACTGATTAATGAGGAACAATTTCCAAAAGATAGAAAACTGGGGGCCAAAAGGTGCCTTGGTTTTTCTTTTTTTTTATCACATGCAAGAGCTATTTCTTTTTATATATGTGTACTATTTTTCCTTTGAGTATTCAGAGTCAAACAGTAAATGCTATTTACAATCATAGAACTTTTGTTCTAAGCATGTGGTAACAGATGGTAAGCCTCAGATACTGCTGTTAGATTAAACAGACGAGAGAAAAGTAACAGTGTAATTACCAATTACGGTGCAATGGACAGAGGGGTGCTGTCTGACACTCTTACGCTATAAGACTGATGTGATTTTTTAAAAGACTTGGTATAAATTTCCTCCTGTGATTGAGCTGTATGAAAAGTCTACGTACAAAAATCCAGTTCCATAAAGAAGACAATTTTTTTTTTCTTTTTTTTATGAACCATTTTTTAAAAGGCCTTAGAATGCATTGTGCAGCAATTTGACAAATGTACACAGAGGAAACAGTGTTTTTGCTCCATGGGTAGGAAGAAAAAAAAAATCACAAACAAAACAACATAAAGGATAGGTTACAAACATAGCATACATGAGGTTGCCTTAAAACAGATAAGCAATAAGTCCAATTTAATTATTCCTTTAGAAAATATAGAGAATATTTATACTGACCATACATGGGCTGAAAATCACCTTGTTGCTTATGGTAACCTTTACATATATTATTAGCAAAGGATTAAAATAAACATTCCTTTATTAAAACAGGGCCTTAGCTCAGTATGTAGACCTCCTTTGTGGTATTTGGATTTTGCAGTTTAACCAAGGACAAGCCCTTGCTAGACCCATCCAGTGCACAAGCTAAATA